GGCTAGTGCGCATTAATACACATGTAATTGTAAACACGTTGGGTCAACCAAAGTTTAATCCGGCCAAAATACATTTTTAATACAAAAAAAGCAGAAAAATGTTACTGGCTAATGTGGTAGGGATGACTTAAATTTGCCTATATATGGCCACTTTTGTCCATAGCAAGCACTTCTGTTTCTTATGTAGGCTAAGCAAACGGGAAGACAATTTCCAAAGAGCCAAAAACAATTTATATTACAAAAAAGGCAAAAATATATTACTGGCTAATGTGGTAGGGTTCACTTTGCCTACTATATGGCCACTTCTGTCCATAGAAATCACTTCTGTTTCTTATGTAAATAAACGGGAAGGCACTTTCCGAAAAGCCCCCAAAATGTTAATATTGCAATAAAGAATTGTCAATATATATCATAATCTTAATGCAACGATAGAGTGTTTTGTTTTACGAAGCTCGGGACAATAACAAATACCATCCGTCTAGTAGAAAAGTGGGCGTATTAGACTATTAGACAGGTGGCCGTCTTATAGACTACAATGTCATTATAATGTAAAACAATACTCAAGGGGAGGAAATGGATAGTGGTCGTTGGTAAAGGTGATTGTATATGCAAATGGACATCACAGCAGGTTCGAACTGTGAACATGTAAACACATACTGTTTGTTTGTTTCATTTAATTTTTCCTTTTATTTCAAAACAGTGTTTCTTATCGCCACTTACACTTCCTCTTAAACTCACCCTTGTTATTGAAACTGAAAAAAGGAGCTTTTTTTGAAAGACTGATAAAGTTTTTAATCAGAAGGCTCAGACGTTTTTACACATTAATCTGTTGTATCATTGTGAGCTTTTAGTTTTCTCATCGTACTGACATTCTTCTATGAAAGTGATGTGCAATTTAAACTTTATCTATCTGTTTTTTTCCGGCTCATGTAAAGAAGAAGAAGAAGAAGAAGAAGAAGAAGAAGAAGAAGAAGAAGAAGAAGAAGAAGAAGAAGAAGAAGAAGAAGAAGAAGAAGAAGAAG